ATGACCCTAGATCTTGTAGTCCCGAACTCGACCCATTGACCCATTTACGTACTGTCTGCTTTGGGTGGGCCTTGCGCCCACTTGTCCCTCACGACTTTCTTCGCGTCCCCCAGAATTTGAACTCTTGACCTCTACATAAGAGAGATTTAAATTGAATCGTGATACCAATCGAGCGCTTTTTTTGTAACGATCCGGACCTCTCGCCCAAGCCGTTAGCTTACGTACTGTTCACTTTGGATGAGCCTTGCGCCCACTTGTCTCTCACGACTTTCTTCGCGTCCTCTAGGATTCGAACTCTTGACCTCTACATAAGAGTGACTTAAGTTGAATTCTGGTACCAAGGACCACCCAAAGCGGACAGTATGTAAGCTAACGATTTGAGCGAGAGGTCCGGATCGTTACAACCCAATTAGTATCAGGATTCAACTTAAATCTCTCTTATGTAGAGGTCAAAAGCTTGAATCCTGGGGGATGCGAAGAAACCCGTGAGGGACAAGTGGGCACAAGGCCCACCTAAAGCGGACAGTACACAAGCTAACGGCTTGGGCGAGAGGTCCGGGTCGTTACACCTTACCCTATTAGACTCCTTCTTCGACTCAAACAATGTTTGAACACTTGGAATAAAACACTAACTCCTTATCCTACGAGGATAAGGACCGCAAAAGGATAAGTCCTTCTAGGACTCCATCATTAACACCTATAAATACACAACCCGTGTTCATTCTTAAGGTACGTTTTTCATTATTCCCAGTTTATAGTCTCACGCACTAAATTCCCTATCTGACTTAAGTATCGGAGAGGCGACGAGCACACATCTCGTTGCTTTTGTTGCAGGTATTCGAAAGCCGTTCGTGTTCATCAAAGTTCGGAGTTCAATCATCGAGTTCGACATCTTTCAGGTACTATTTTTTGGTAGCATCAGTAACTATAGACAATTTAATAGGATTAAGCATAAGCAAATTTATTAAGAACGTTGTATACTTTGAGACATGTTTGATAATATTGCATTGCTTAAATAAGAGACTTGACCATGTATCATCTAATTATGATTGGGACGATAGTATGTTCAAAAAAAAAAATGAAAATATATTCTAGATCGTATATTTTACTAAGTAGACATTCTTGTATAATTCAGTTGGGGAAAATCAATTTTGTCCATCCAAATCCCGGGTACCCGTAGCTTGTTTACAGATTTCATCGTAGCATGAATGCTCGAATTCTTCTTTCTTGTAATCATGAGGTATCATGCTCCATCACGTTCATAATGCCCCCTGCTTGGTACATATTAGCAAAACAAGAAAGAGTAAGCAAAGAATATTATTTCTTTTTCTTTTGGATAACATAGCTTTTCTAGCAATATTATTTGTTAAGGTAGCAATCCAATTGTAAATTGTGAATGTCCATCATCAGGGGCGGAGCCAGGATTTTAGTTCAGTGCGGGCAAAATTTTTTCGACGACAAATGTCGAGGTTTTGGTCAGGAATTTAATGACGATAAGAAAATAAAACAATAGTACATCAATACTAAAAACGACATAATTTATATATTACACTTGTTCTTTGCGAGTTTTTATACTTTGATATCATTGTATAATAACTTCATTATTGAACCTCAATATATCTTTCTCCACATAAACAATTGTGCTATCATTCATCCACTGATCACCCAATTACTACTAGGAGTGGGAGTAATTCGAGATGTCAAATGAATCACAAATACTGGAAGCAACTCACAAAACTAGTGCAATTCACAATTTCACATAATCAATTCACAATCTCA